ATTCTATGATTCTATGATTCTATACTAAAAACCATGGACACTGGCGGAGTCATTCTGAAATGTAAATTGCATTTGGTTTTTGTTTGTTTACACAGATTCCTGCTTTAAAAAAGATTATATTCTACGGTACTTATTTTATCCACCATCTGATCTCAATTTAAAAATGTAATCCCTATTGTAAGAAAGTTATAATTAAATTAAGGAAATGGGTTTGCATGACAGCAAGTTAGTGGTTTCTTTGAAGTTTTTTTTAAACCAATATGCTGTTTCTAAACTTGTGATGACTTCTGTAGGTTTGTTAAAATGAGGAAAAACTATATAAATGTTGTTCAGCCAAGCAAAACCAGCATGTTGATGTTTTTCAGAGTATCACCTACCAAATCCAACAGAAAACTTCCTCAAGCTATACAAGTTTCACATACACCATATTTTGAAAACCTTGCCCAGATGCACCACATTCTGTAATTAGAAAAACTGTATTCTTCTCACAAAGGTAAATACTGTAAAATAAAAAGTACTGCCAGTACTGTCAGGTAAGTACTGAAACCAACAAAAATTCTTTCAGTTTTTTGCAATATAATTTTTAAGTTACAAAATTTTAATTCAATTCCAGAAGTCTCTAGAAAATTGCAGCTTTAAATAAGAAGCAGTTTTCTGCTTTATAAGATTATACTTTCATTTCAGTTGAATTGATTAATTAAATTAATGCAATTAATTTAACTGATTGTAATAAGCTCAAAATAGTGGGGTGAAATAAGAAATATTCCATTCACAGAGTGAACAGAAGCACAAACTCGTTCCTCAAGGAACATCAAAACAATATTGGAAATTTAAGTTTAAAGATCCTGAATTATCTGAACAGATATGAAACAGAAAAAAAAGTGAAGAACAGAAAAAAGTCTCTCTGAATATTTTTCTTACTTTGGTTTGAATTAACAGTATTTCTATTGATTAGTGGTAGAAAAAGTTGTAAGTTTTTTCTTTTTGCTAGAAAATTTTGAGGAATTTCCAAACAGCTCATCAGTTAAAATGAGCAAGAAGTTTGACATCTTAAATGCAAAAGGATGCACTGCACTACATGCACAGCAAACCCTTTGTGCATATATTTACACTCTAAAATATGCAATTAAAATATGTTTTGATTGATTGGAGAAAGAAGAGACTATACAAATTCTCTTTAGAATAACTTTTTTTTTTGCAAAAGTTGACATACCTTCACTTTAGAGTTTTCTATCAAATGCTGAGCCATTGATTTTATCAGAACTTCAAAGAAAAACCATGAATACTGCAGAGAAAAGAAAACATTCTGTAAAATTGCCACATGCATTCAACAACTATTTCAATACAATTAGTTCCTATTCTTCAGTTATGACCAGATAAGAACATACAGTAAAAAGTATAGTTCAATATATACCTTAAGTAGCTTGTTGCTTGTAAGAAAGTCAGCAGATGGCTTTAAAATTGTTGTCATGGACTTTGTCAATTCTTCATGTACTGTCTTATATTCAGAAGCAACATAGGGTTCAGCTTTATAAGCATACTTGGGAAGGAAAACCAGAATATAATGTGAAACTATGACATAATATGAAGCAATTGAAATTAAACAGATGTAACTAAATTTAAATATACTCTTTTTAGAGAAATAAAAAAAGGAAACATTTAATTTATTTTTACCTACCTTGACATAAGATCTCAGGTAGCTATCCAAGCCTTCTTCATGACACTGAGCAACAATATGGATAATAACCCTAAACAGAAGTCAGAAATCAAGTAAGCCTACAAAGAAAGCTATGATTGCAATAGCAAAAATGCTACTCGGTTACAGATTTCTGTGATAACCCAGTCATCACTTAAACTCTATGAAACACTTAAAATCCTTTACCTTGTCACATTGACTGCAACTTCCTCTTGAGTTGCTCTAGTGAGAACTCTAAACAACTGGTTTAGAACAGTTGGCAGGAAAGCTATCATCACATGGCCTTCCATAGCATGAAGGCTCTAAAAGAAAGCAGTAATACTGTCACTCCCTTGAAACAATGGCATTTAAATCACAAATTCTGAAACAATAAGATTTACTGCAAGTCTTTTTCCAAAAATACACATTGTTTGCACTATTTGGTGTTAATTACCTGAAATACTGCACAGAAAGCAATCGAGAATAGTTTTCAACATAAATATTTGTTAAATATTTTCTACATCAAGGTAAATTAGGGATAAAAATTCAGTTTTATTAAAGTCATTTTAGAAATAGTTATTTGTACTTTTCTATTGAAATGCTTAATAGGTAACATTTCAATGAAAAGACTACCTGTGTACACCACAGAAAGCTGACACTCTGGTATACTTTGCTGTTTCACCCACCAATGCAGATATTTAGCAAACAGAAGTTCCACAAAAACATACAGATTACTTATCTGTGGTAAGTGCAATACTAGTTATACTAGTTACTGCAAAACAATAAACTAGTATGTTAAAAACCAGAACGAACTAAAATCCCTAACTACCTAATGCTGGAAATTGGAGACAGCAAATTACTAACCACTCAACTTCTTCACGACATGCCTTTGCATTCCATTACATGCGAAAGATATTATAGAGAGAACCACCCTGACATAAAAGGCAGTGTATGCCATTTTATCCTACATTGTTTTATGCCACAAAATTCCCTGGAGTTAAAGGGAGTTTGACAAAAAAAGAGTACATTTGCTGAACACGCATACAGACAACACATTCCAAACATTTCCATTCAGTGTTAAGTAGCTGTCTTGTCTTTGAATGTTTGCCTGTATGCACATTCACACTATTCAGGACTCAAAACAGTCTTCCCTCCTATGTGATCTGCGATTTTTCTTGGAAACAGCAGTCATACGCTACAGCATCTTTTCTGTAAGCCTTGAATATCAGAGCATTGGGTAAATATGCAAATGGAACTTCAGCTCACACTTTTGTCCAGGATGCAAACATTTTTTGATAAAGGTGCTGTTTTAAGTAGGGCTCTGAAGTGGACTCCTAACCTAACTTCTGATGCCTTTGAGTATTTAATTACACTTAGGCTGCCAGAAGTAGCTGTGCCCTTTGATCTCTCAGGCAGCAATGGAGGTAACTACAAGCAGATACCTCAACTTATAAGATGCCAAGTGATGTTTGGGCTTATGAAACATGAAGGAGAGCATACAAACATCTTGAGACAGGTGAGTCTCAGAAAACCTTTAATTAGAAGTGTCAGATGGTGCTTACACAAAATCCTGTTAGGGAGGGCAAGAGCAGAAAGAAGAGAGAATGGGAAACACTTGTCAGGTTCGGTAACCCAAGCTACTTTGCCAATAGCACACTGACATCGTGGAGGAAAGTAAATCCTAAGTATTTAAATGTGTCATTGCCATTATAGCATAGACATATGCAGGAAACTATCACCAGCGAACTGAAACGTTGATGTTTAAAGAATATTTAGCACCCAGGCTGGCCAAGTCTGGCACAGGCTGACACACAGAAGGCAAGCTCTCAATACACAGGAGAAGTAAAAAGTATTTGGGTCCTTCTGAGGCCTAGCTAGACAGGAGTTCAGCCCAATAGAATTGAGAATAGCCATAATTTGTAGTCGACACAGAAGATAGCATTTGTTTTCTGTTACCATGAAGCGAGACAATAAAGTCAACATGATGTGTTAATCTAGTGGTGTGGAACATGTTCATACCACGTGGGGAGAGTGTTCTAGTGTTTGACGACAAGCAAGAGTTATAAAGAGGCTCTGCAGTTGCATTATTCTGTCCCAGGGATTTTGGCAAGACATGGTCTTGTCGCTGAACCTAAAGATTTTGCTAATGTGGAATTAATATAAACATAAATAGTTTAAGCAAAGGAATCAGCTACCCAAATATATTACAGTATTTGTGATCATATACAACTGAAGTAAATGATGTGATTTCGGAGTGATCTGAGGAAGCGTTCTTTTGAGCTTTCCCCTTTTTAGGGAATTTATGTATATTAATGATACATTAATATCTGATGGTCACCTTCTTCTACCAGACTAACAAGACTTGTGAATATCAAGAGAATCAAGCCTTTGATTCCAGGCAACTGTCATTTTTGATGGTCAGCGAGTAGCAAGATAAATCTGAAATTGCCATGCTAGTCCCTGGAAGAGATTTTGATTATGTCAGATTCAAGTAGAGCTCTGGTAAACTTAAGAAACACTGAGATTTCCCAAAGTACTGTGAATCCCGACGAATCAAACAGGTCAGAAACTGACTGAGGGTTGTTTACAACTTCAGCTCCTGAGGTAAGAATCAACCAACCGCCCACAAAGTACAGGGTCGTTCCATTCCTCATAACATGAACAGTCACCGCTGCCAGCACCCGGTAGAGAGGGTCTCCATGGTGTACAAACTGATTTTTTAATAGTAGTGATTCAGACTTGTTATGTATGCAGAGATTTTAGTAATAATGGTTCTTTTCATGTACCATCTGACTGTTTCCCAGACCAACTGCTTTATAATACAGCACCAGAAAGAGCAAATTCTGTTTCTTCACCTGAATTTATCAATGAAGACATTCAGTTCCCTGAGGTCCAGTATGGGCAACAATCCTTCCCTTCTTCTTGATACCAGAAAACATCTGCCATTTTCTCTGGCACCACAAATAGCAGGAAGGCTACACCCCTTGGAAAAAAGTGATGGAAATGATACTGACAATTTTAAAGATCTTCAATGAGCCACAGGTCAGACTCTAAGACCTCTAATTCATGATGACAGATATTTAGGACATACCATCTTTACTATACGGAGAGAAAAAAAGACAGAGGTTAAGTCCAATGATGAAGGTTCAGTGTCCCAAGTAATCTTAAAACCACAATCAGAGGACAAGAAGGCAAAGCTGCACCAATGAAAAAAATGCCTTTTATGACTAGGACTTCTAAAAACCCGGATGATTCCTTTGTTTGTATTTTGATAGAACACGGGGGGAAATTGAATACCAATAACTTTAAATCTCTTGCAAAAAAGTACAAACAGTAAGAAGTGAGAGATAAAGAGGTTCCCTTCTTCAAAAAGAAATCTCAGACAGCAGCACCACAATCTCCCAGAAGGATTACTTGGGGAAAGATGGAATAATCCCCATGGCCTTAAGGCAAGATGAAACACACTGAAGCAGTAGTTCTTATCCTCTTCTGTCTCTATTGGAGAGATTTCTTCAGGGCACAAACCACATACACACACTTAGAAAGACACTATATTTTGAAAAGCATCATGATGACAGAGGATTTGCAAGTGCGGTATCAGGGAAGGATTCTGCACACCAGCTGTCTCTAACTCCAGTAGGGCCTCTTGATACTGCAGTGTGCTGACTTTTAAAGGCAAAACACTACCAGGCTTAGTGCTAGTGCCATCTAAGTGGGGACTATTTGGTACAATTACTGCAGCAGAAAGCAGTGGAAATAATGATGGCTCCAGATCTAAAGTTATCAAGGAACTCGAAACAGATACTTTAAGTGAGAAACACAGAGAAATGACATCTTATATCAAAACAAGAATGTCAGTAGCAGAAACCCAAGTGAGAGGCATCTCTAGTGACTCATTCTAAGCAACCACAGGAGATGACAAAGTTCAGCTACAAGACTATTTGTTCTTTGCCTTACCCTTTTAATGTGAAGCTACCATGGCCAGAATCCCTTCTAAGGGGTTGTATTATTGTCATATGCTTTGCCAGCACATTTTGGAATTGCAAAATTTCAGAATGATAAGGACAAATAGAAGACTGAGAAACAGGTGTGTCAAGTAAAAAATGGTAATAATAAAACCCCCTATTTCCAAATAGACTTATTCCATCTTCCTACTGTTAATGTACTGTGTCCTGTTTTGTACCAAAGTTGATCACAGAAGTCTTGGGGCAAGGAAGATGACTCAGAGCCATGGTTTTGACGTAACCAAGGTCACAAAGCAAGTCCCATTCAGAAGCATGCCACATTCAGTAGTTATTACTTAAATGTCCTGAGTAGGCAGTCCAGTTTTGTTAATTGATGGTCTTCAATTACAATAATAAACTCTGTTGTGCCTAAGAAAATCAGGAGTTACTTGTGATACCCTACATAGATTTTAAGGTGACTGAAATTTGGGCTTCATATCAAAAATCTGGCCTACTTGGTTAAGACAAAATTGCTGTGGAAACCATGCACTCTATTGATCTAATCCTGAAAGAGAACTGTAGACACGACAATGATGACCTCCTAAGCAAAATTTTAGAAAATCAAGAGTCATCATTCCTTACCATTCTCATGTACAGTTCAACTTGATTATTTTGACAAATTAAGCCATTAGTGTTTCGAAATTATCACTCCTAAGGCTGACCAATCCTGTCTCATTATTTCCTCGTGGTTTCCTCTTAGATTGCAATTGTAAATTTAATCTAGGACAGGAAGTATCTTTTTGTTCTTTTTATACTGCATATTCCATTAATGAGACCTAGAAAATGTCTGAAGCTCCTAGGTCTTGCAAAAGTATAAATAAATAATATAATCTGTTATTCGTTGCCATTTTATACCTTAAGATATTTTACAAGATCAGTTCCTAGTGCACGAGCTCCAGACTCTGTTTTCTGACAGTACTGAAAAAAATTATGCAAGTGCTGGTCCTGTCAAAGACAAAAAGAACAACAAATTAAACAAAATCTAACATTACTATCCATAATCCAAACCAGACACATTAAAAATATTCATATATAGAAATCCATATATGTGTCCATAGATTCAATTTTCAAAAATAATTGAAGTGCACTACTCCGAAGACTAATTTAGTCTACATGATTTTTTTTTTAACCCACATAAGAAATTTCCAGTGATTTTTGAATACCTGTTATAGAAAACACCACTTATATTTGCTTCAAATAAAATGAAATGCAGAAAATAGCATACTTAATATTAGTTATCCCAACCTATCATAATATGTATTTTATGAGGAGTTATAACAGGACTCACTGCTTTGTAGACATGCCAGTAAATAGCTTTCAGACAACTATGACCACTCTTCTAACAGGAAAATTCAGATTGGAATGCATGACAAAGTTAGACAAAAGGCTCACATTTTGAATAGCTTCCATCTAAGATCTGCTGTTTTTCACAGCTGATGTGAAAGAGAGATACCATGCAGAGTGTCCAAGAGACAAAAAAGTAAGAGATCAGCATATTGAGTTTAAGAATCTTCCCAAATATTGTGTACATATAACAAACATACATTATTCCTAAAACTTTCTCTAATATAATTTGTTTTATAACTCACCTGTGTATACACAGTTGACACCAGATGAGTGGATATTTTTAACAGTTGTTTGCCTCCATCTACCCATTTAATTTCAGGACCAGAATGCTGCACGCACATATGCAGAGGAAAAGTAAAATAATACAGCGGTACACTAAAGTAAAACAATTTGTTTATAGTTCCACAAACAACACCTTTCTTTTTTTTTTAAAAACAGTTTGAAGAAATGTGCGCAATGAATAAAGTCATAAAAAAAGGAAAATTATGCAGGCAATATTACCAAAAGCATTTATGAAGCTTAAAATGTATTTTATAAGTCCCACAGTAGTTTCCTCACTGCTTAACAAAATTGCTTTTCTCTAAGACACAGATTTCATGTTTCCCCTACAATTCTGCAAAGAAACTTCTGACTAGAGAAAAATATCTACTAGTTTTCTGAGGAAAATAACACAAGAATTTCCACAGATACTCACACAGTTTAAAGCTTAACATAGGTCACCGATAGGTAGCAGCCAGTGCTTCCTTCCCATCCCATTTCCAAAGAACTGAGAATGGAAATGCTCAGCTGTCTACCCTGACAACCAGTTAGGGAGAGATTACTGCTAGATCTACAACTAGTCATATTGGTCCTAACCTTCTACCCATGGGCATGAGCAGAGACAAACAGCAGAGGCATAAAGAATACACCTATAATGTGCAAAGATGAAATATGTAAAGGAGACAATGATTGGAAAGCTTACAGCAGAATTTAAAAAAGGAAAAGTTGGTACAATAGGAGGAGAGCAGCACCTCTTGCTGTTGATTTTAGGCCTCTTCCTCCAAAATGAGTCAATTTTGTCTCTGCATTTCATTCTTTTAGTCAAATCCCCTATCACGTTTTACGTTTTGTATCCTCCTCGGTATCATTTTTATTACTACAATTTTGCAAGCTTTCTGCTTTGAAGAATACAACCAGAAATTTTACTAGTGAAGTATAAAGATCACAAAAATCAAGATGTGAGAATAAGACTTTTTCAGGAATAAAGGACTTACTGAAAGGAGACAGCATGAAACGCTAAAAAAAATTTAGTAAAGGACTTCAGATTATTTGCATATCTTCATAAACTCAAAATAGTTTAATACATATAAAAATTACTGTAATTTCTAGTTAATTATTACTACAAAAAAAAGAAACTTACACATTTCCCAAGTACATCAGCTAAATAATAACAGAAATAAGTACTTAACAATTTAAACAAAAAACTATATTAGGACAGATTGATTCAAATTCTTGTATAAGTCAGAATTTAGTCATAAGTTTTGTCTGCCATTTCTGTTTGGGTTTGTTTGTTTCCTCTAAGTCAGATGTCTAACTTTTGCAAAGCACTCCATTTCAACTATAAAAGAAAAAAAATTCTACTTTAATCTTATGAGACTGAGGAATTATAACCAAACCTTCTCTCCACATCTTTTTTTGAAAGATTAGAGCAATTTTATATAACATACCTTTCCAACCCCCATTTCTTGATAACTAAGATAGCCTGATGGAAGATTTGCTGACACTGGGATCTGTTGCTCATTGGTCACCACTCTTCCATCTTTTATTAGAGGAAGCCAAGAATACCCAACTACGGAACATGAAAGGCAAGTAATTTTAAATATATTATGAATCTTCACATAAACCCTTACAAAAGTCTTACTGTATACTTCTGATATGTAATTCATAAACTAGAAAATGTTACTGTAAGGGCCAAATGATTTGAAATTGTTAGAAAGAATTGAAAAGGCAAATAAATTGTCACTGAGTTTGAAAAAACATACATTCGATAGACATTCTAAAATAACATTTGAAAAATTAAAAGAAACACTTAATGAAATCTTTCAGTCAGTATAATGTAATTAGAAAGCATTATATGGATCACAAAAATCACAGGTTACCAGATAAGCATTCTTCATAAAATCTCCCCAGTAGTTACTGAAAGTAAAGCATTAGCGTACATTAGCGTACAAACCTTGTGTTTCAACAACATCTTTCTTCTTTGTACTCCCTTTGCTTGAGTTATCACAGCTGACATGGTAGAAGGTGAACAACAAATGGTGCTTTTCGTGTAACTGAGTGGGTAATTCTATTTTAATCTGAAAGGCAAAGAATCACAACCTTTGTAGAAGTCTTCATCTAGAGCCGTGACATGCCTTACTGGCTGCACACTTAAAAAGTTATTCAAAGCAAGATCAAGAATCACACACACAAAACTTACAAAAATTTACTGACAGTGAAAAGGGGGGTCTGATTTAACTGAAATCATTATCAAGAACTTTGCAATCCTCAAATCTTTTCTTGTATTTTTGAAACTTACATAATACCTAAACCAGTAAAAGTTACCTCAGAAAGGTAGCTTACCTCATCATAAAACTCTGGATTTTGATGGTGATGCAGAACAGCAGCGAACGCACTTCTAGTAAATACTGGTCCACCTGGCCTACCATAGATACACTAATAATAGAAAAAAAAAAAAGGAAAAAAGAACAAAAAACCCCTGTGATCCTTTTTCACGCTCAGCTTAGAATCTGTTCCACCTAGAATTTGAAATATTTTAACTTGTGTTTAACTTGGTTCCTTTGCACAGAGAGGGGATTACATGATCTGTAGTCTGCCTGCTGTGCAGTAGAACTGACACTGTGATTTCACCTCAGGATTCCTACACATTTTTCTACTACTTTTCTTCCAGGCACCTCTTATACCCTGTGGTAACTCAAACAAACACAGAGCTTGGTTCTGCAGTTGATCTAAAGCTTTATTGTTTTAACTTAAAGAATTCCTCCTGTGGAACAGGCAGAAGCCACCCTTGTTTGCAACAAGTTTATTCTTGGAATTTTTGTTGATATAAAGAAATGAAATGCTCTGAGGGTTCTTTAGTAATCTTTTATATCAAAAACAAGCAAGTCATCTAGTAGTTACTCTTATGCCAAATGCAAAAGGAGGACAGAAAGCTACCATCCCAAACTAGATAAATTAATCCAGTACTACTGTATTATTTAGTTAACGGTTCACTATTTTCTTCTATCAGTCACAAAAATCGAAAGACTAACCTTTAAAGGCAAAGAATCCTCTTCATCAGAATCCTTGAACTCAATGCATACTGCAATATTTCTAGCCTAAAGCAGTATTTAAAAACAAAAACCCAAACACTTAGTTGCAAAGATCATTCACAGAAATATAGTATGTAAACAATCTTAACCAAATCTGAGAAAGAAGAATGTACAGTTTTCCTGTACTCACCTTTGCAAAAGACTTTTGACTGTCATATTTCAAGTGTTTTGGATAAACATAAAGATGATTGTTGTAGATGGTGAAAGGCTGAGTGTGTTTTGGTATACAGGGAACAAATTCCTCTATTTCAAACGTTATTAGTGCCTTGGTACTGTTTTCAAACTGTTTCATGGGAATGTATGATGAGTTAACATAATCTGAAAACACATAAAAAAACCAATAAAAAACTGAAGAGAAACAGCCTGAATGTTCATTTATCAGTGTTTATAAATACTTACTTGGAAAATCTGGTGACACATTATCAATTGTAACATCCAGATTTCCTAAAATAACAGGAAGTTTGGCCATCTTTTCAGGTCTATAGGAAGGAAAAAAACCTCAAAGTCAGGATAAATGCAAAATTATCAGATGTCAGAGAAAAAAGATAATAGGAAACAGAGGTAAAGTAATATCCTGAAATACGAGTATGAGAGGAAAGGTGGTTTGGGGGTGGATGACTAATCTGGTCTTGCTTTTTGCCTAGATTCACAGTTTTCTTCTCCTTTAAATTCTCAAAAAAAAGAAAGTAAGGCTTTATTCACAAATGTGGAAAAGGTTAAGAAAAAGCATGATGTTTTTCTTTCTTTAAATCAAAATTTAAAACTTTATTAGACACAGGTTTTGTTTGCCATGTAATAACTCACTATCATTTGCAGAAAAGAGGGGCCCTATCAGTAAGCTTTTTAAATCTCAATGGCCAGTGATAAGCATTTATGGTAATGGGGTAAGCTTGGGGTAAGAGCAAAGGGGGAGAGAAACCAGTAAGTTAACAAAATGCATCTTCTACTCAGTAATTTTTTTTCTACCTCCTCCTTTTTCTAGAGTAATAACTGACCCTGCAAAATATTTACTATTAACTAGCCTACTATGAAATTTCTTACGTGTTATCATGTAGCTAATTCAGAAATATGATCTGAAGTAGGAGTATTTTCCATGTTAAAACAGCAGTGCAGAACCCTTTATTAATAAAGATAGTCAGCAGCATGATTTTTTTAAATTATTGCAGAGGAAGTGGATGCAAAATTTTCCCAAAATGCAATCCTATGCTGTGAAGCAAACAACTTTTTCTGGTTGGAGTCTGGATTCTAATTGCAATAGCTAAGCCTTAGACATTACAATCTCCTTCTTATTAAAATTCCTGTGAAATACTGTACACTGTTCCTCAAACAGGATGCTGAAATAACCAAAAGCATTTCCTTAATTCATAAAGTAAAGTGACGTGGCAGGCTAATTTACTATATCAGTTTCAGTTTCAATAATACTGTTTCTGGCAAGGAGTATCAGTACAGCAATTTCAACGCTATGTAAACTTCAATGAAACTTTAAGCAGCTTGCTAAAATGGAATTAAAATATCTATTACAAACTTCATCTCCTTATCAGATTTGGTAAGCAAGAATAAAATAAAGAAAGTATAGCCCAAGCCTTTTGCAACTAGCAATTGTTCAAATTAATAGAATTCCAGCTAACTGTACCTTAACAGAAGTGGAAATGCCTTTGTGAAGCAGCAAAATATTTATACTCTATTTAATAAGAAAGTGGATTAAAACTAGTTTACTAATAGGGTCATCTGTCAGTAGGAGATTCTTCAGCCTTGCACACAAACTGATGCAGTCTTTAGGAATACTTTGTAAAAAAGGATGACCAATGTTCTGTTATTTAGGCATCCTGAGCCACATGCACTCCCAAGGAAGGTGGACTGGATACTGGCTTGAATCCCTTTCCCTGAGAGCTAGCATTCTCTGTCCAAGGTCAGTGAACGTATGATTTGTGCTCATACTTGTTTTCCTTTGAGAACCCGAAGAGTGTATTGTGCAAGCATAACTCCTAACACAGAGCTACTTCAGGATATGATGCTTACTGCATGTTAGACAAGGCATAATACTTCAGTCCTGCTTGTAGCCCCCAAACACCGCAAAGGAAAGATCCGTAGCTTGTATGAAGGCCTTGATTATATTTATACAACTTCTATATTTGAAGTGAAAAACATATAAATACATACCTCAAAAGATTAGATGCTCCAGTTCAAGACCATAACAAAAAATGGTGGGGCTTGGGAGGGGCGTGTGGAGTGGGGTGGGGTGTAAGGGTATGGTTGGTTTGTTTGGGTTTGTTTTTTTAAAGTGGGGAAATTAGACTTACTTCCTGAAATCTGCTAATAATTTCAGCATGTCTTCATTTGAAAGTTTATTACTGTCTTGTCTGAAGAGAGGAGAAAATCTTGCATTTTTGTCCAAGGTTCCTGAGGCATCTTTAAACAGCGTCCTGAAAGTCAAAATCTTGCTTTCAGCTGAGTTTATGAAAGTGTTGAAATTCAATTCAGGAAATTTCTTTACTACAAATTAGAACATACTGTTCATTTAAGCATTTAATACTCTTGTCACTGCAGGTGAGTTTTAACATAAATAGCTGAGTCTAACAAATCCAGTGTGAACCATTTCATTCGTAGTAAAATAAAAAATACTGACAATAGAAAAAAGTTGGCAATATTCAATGGTTTGAATAATAATATATTGAATGTTTATAACTTTTTTCTTATTACAGAGCTAAAGTGTAAGTTTGTCAGAAATCTTTGGTTAATTGAAAGTAAAACAAGAAATAATTTAAATAGCACATTAAGTTTTACAAGAAGTGAGATGCAGAAAATAATGTTAAAGAAAAGTTAGGAAAAAATACAGATTGACAAGATCTGTCCTTACCTAGCTGCCCACGCAAAAGGCATTCTATATTGACCTAATCTCTGGCATGCCTGCTTAGCGTTCTTCAAAACTTTCTGTGCAACCTGCAAGGGACAGAAGAAATAGCCACATTTTAAAAGCTACATTTTTTGCACTGTTAGTACACAAGAAAAAAAACACTTATTGACACTGATATGAATTGGAAAATCTTCTTTAGAAGATTAATCCTAAGTATGCAAGTGAAAGACAAATGAAAATACTTAACAATTCATTTCAGGTTAAGCAGGGCCTGCTAATTTCATAGCATTTCATGGGTGAAAACCCAGAGCCATCTATACTGCCAATAACACATATTTAATTAAGCAAGAAAAAAAAATTATTATATACAAAACTCATACGAAAGCTAGAGCAAAATTCAACTGGTTTTTAAGACAAAATCGTGACTCCAGATAAAAACATTTCCCCCTCTACTTGCTCCCCTATTCACCACCCACTCTATGTACCAGAACACATTCCTGCAAAGTAAATAGTAAAATACACTGCAATACTTGTATTACAAACACACACAGAATATGGTGAGGAGTTGTATGCAGATCCATGGACAATCCTACATATGGGCATTGCAACATTGTTTTCATTAAAACTTTAAATTCTTTGTTTTGTTAACTTTTAAGTGAATAAACAATTCCATTATTTAGAACCAACATGTATAACAATCAGAGCCAGAAACCCACTAGTTTGAGATGCTCAACACCGAGCTGTACCACTTGGACTAAAGCAGAAGCTCCTGACAGAGCAATGGGCTTCTCTTTTCCAGAAACCAGCTTCTCATATGTGCCTACACAGAGCAAAATTATTTGCCAGAGGCAGAAAAACAGAGTAAACCTGCCTGAATATTACCCCTGATCTATGCTGTTGACATTATGAAGAGCTGTTTCTATTAGTGTGTTGTTTGAGCTCTCTATTATCCATTCCTGTAAAAAGGCGGAAATTGCACTCAGAAGCATAGAACCTTGATAAGTAATCATCATTAATTCACTGTATTCAATGTTTAAGGGGAGAACAAGTGATCTCTTGGCTATAGAATTTGCTGTTTCCATTTTCCCTTTTTCTTGTCCTGAGTAGTAATTCTGCAGGGAACTGAAACTTGCTCATTGCACTGACACACATGGAGGCCTTGTACGTTCTGTTTTGTTTCAAATTAATACAGTGTAATCTCACAGAACAAAAACAGAAAAAAAATTCAAACTAAGTGTTCAATTGTATAAAATTATAAGCAAATGAATACCAGAAACGGACAGCATAAGTTAATATCACCATGAATGTTCCTATTGGCTACTCTTGCAGTACAGGACAACACAAGTCTAGCACTCAGCATCAAATTTGGGAACACTTGGGCTTATTTAACCTTCCCATGTGGTTTAGGCCCGAGACCACAAAAATCAGTTACTCAGTTCAGGTGTGTTTTAACTCAGTAACAGTCAGCATACACTTCAAAACCAGACTCCTAAAATGCAAAAGCTGCTGTTTTCCAACAACAGCTGAAAAAAATCTCAAGTATTCCTGGAAAAGCAAATCAGTAGTCTGATCTATATTAAGACCAAGTAAAAAATGCAGGTTTTTTACGTGTAGCTTAGCCAGCATTAAATTAGTAGGAAAGAATGCTGTTCCTCTGCAGAAACTGAAAGTTAACCCTTCCTTCTTCCCTTTCAACTAGCTGAAAACTGGAAGAATGTCAACAGTAGCTGACATTGCTTACAAAAAACCCTTTTCTACTAGTATCCTGGTCCAACGATTTAACTGTAAATCAACAAAATTAAAACTCTATTTCTTCAGCATCAAACAAGCAGCAGCAACTGACAAAGTTTCTTGTAGACGTGTTTCTAAAAACATTAAAATGTTATGTCATCCTAGACTCCTGTAAACTTAATATGTTTCTGTGGTTTATTTCCAAAAGTGATTTGGAGTTCTATCAAATCTGCAAAGCATTTTATACATAAGAACAGGGGCTTAATGAGCTCAAGTGTTCTGAAGGAAAAAACAGCAAAAGGGCAGATAAAGTTACAGCAAACTGTGATCACCAAAAAGTGGCAGAAAGGAAAAGTCAACAACAATGATACAATAAATAAGATGCATTGAGTGAGAGAGGCATACAGTTAACTTCTGACCTAATTTAATATTTCATTGTTCAACAATTTTCAACTCAACTTTCACACTGAAGTCTAATATTCTTTTGTCAAATGAGTTTATTTAAAACCATTATAAAAATCACAGATTATGTCATGATTATAAAAAGCTAAATGTTTCCCAATATGTTAGACTTTATGTATAATGTTTCATTTCATAATAGTTACTAGTAATAACTACAACTTACTAAATCAAATCATCCAGTTATCTGAATTTTCTATAAAAGAACTAAGCTTTTTATTGATATTTCTTAATTTCAAATCAACCTGTCTTGCCTCAGCATTTTTCCCCGTGCCACAGAAGAAGATAACATACCTTTGAAGAATCTGAACTTTTCATATATGGTTCAGCACAATGTGTAATACTTCCTTGTAATACTTTTTCTATTCTAGCCACGAGGAAAATGTCAGTATGAGGACATGTGACTGAGAATATTCCCTAGAAATAAAACAAGAGATAAAGATAAAAGGAAAATGCACAGGCATTTTACATTACCTAATAGAAAGCCATCCAAAACATGTTGGAAAACTCTCTACTTATATACAAAATCCTACTAATTCTTTAGGTTACTAGTTCTTACCTGCTTTGGATATTGTAACACCGTTTCATGAATGTCTTGAATTCTGTGTAAGCTATCACCACTGCCATTTACCATTTGTTGAGATGCATTGGGTATCATGTACCTTACTGAGGCGTGGTTCAAATCAACATGGAAATCTGCTGAAATCTTCCGGTTGTTTTTAATATCAAATAGTGATAATGTGACAAAAAAAGGTTCTACCTAGACATGTGAAAAAAAGAATCAAGTGTTATTGTTGGCCTCTATATCACTGTAAAAATGTGTATGAAAGGAAGATGAGTAACATTTTTATAAACAGTTACACATGGCCATCACTCTAGATACTACTGACAAGGTGTAAAAAGACAGCAAAAGAAAAATTCCACTTTCTACAACACAACAAGAAGATTAGCAGCAAAGTTATTTTGTAGGATTTAGGCTCTCATTTTGACTTAAAGGAGTAGGAAAAACCCCAGAATATAAGTTTCTCAATCACAGCAAGGAATTCCTGCCATTAAGAATAGTGCCAACAAAATATTAAAACATTCATTACAATATTAACAGAAAATAATTAGAAGAATTTTTTACATTTGTTGTTGGTCCTTCTTCATTTTCCGCAACGCAGCTTTGCAAATTAAAAGATAAATCATTACACTTCACAAGAATTTTTTTTCCAAATTTCTCTTCAAATGGCTTCACTTCTGGTTCAATACCAGAAAAGTCAAGTTTCTTTAAAAAGAGAAAAGAAAAATTAAGGTAAGTTGTTTCTCATCTCAAAAGAATCAACATAAAAGAAAATAACATTCTTCCTTGTAAAAAAGTCTAACCTGTGCATCTGGATCCAAGGCAAAAAGTTTAACTCTGCTTTCACTTTTCAACTTGATTTCTGCTTCTCTGGTACTCTGTTCAAAATAAGAAAAAAAATCTTAGTATCACACTACTAAATGAAAGTGGGTTTCAATTTCATTCCTTTTCTGTGATGTTCAAAGCTTTACATGTTTTTAATTCATGCACTCTTCTCTCCCTAACTGATCTTTGCAACTTCTTAGTTTAAATTGTTCCATCATGTCAGAGCAAAAAGTGAGAGGGCTACTCTCCTCTAAAGGCTTTTCCAGGCCTCAAAAAATGTACATCAGGAACACGTAACCTTCCAGGCTCATGGGAAGATTACTCCAGTGTAGCTCATATAGCACTTTGCCTCCTTAAACAATAAATACCTTTCACAACACTATTTTATTTAAAAAAGAAAAAAAAAAAAGTATGAATGTAGGTTAAAGCTCAGAGCTATCCTGAGACCATAAGATTGCTCAGGAAACAACAGGTTACCTAAATTAAGAAACACCATCAGAGCTCTTTTTCTTTTTTCTTTTCCTTGGGTTTTTTTTGTTTGTTTGTTTGATTGATTGATTTTTGTTTTTGTTTTTTTTTGTTTGTTTGTTTGTTTTCTTCAGTTCTACTACCAAATAAGTAGTTTTCCTGTGTGTAGATGGAAAAGCCCTGAAAACTTCCAAAAGATAAAACCCTCGCGCTTAAAAGTTACTGTACACTGTACACTGATCCTGTCTGGGATTTGTGGATACCTACCTATTAACAGTAAAACAATAGTAAAGTGGAACAAAATAGGATGTGAAAACTGATGGTATACATAGGTTACTTTTTCAAAAAAGGTATTATTTAAAGACTATTCTCTGATTTTTAAAGTCACAGGACACAACAAATGGACATATGCATGTGCCAAAATTACCCGTGTAGGAGAGTTGCCATGCCCAAAGTAGTAGCTGGCTAAACAGGGATACAAAATATTACATTACAGACAGGTGTCTATTTTTGGATCAGACTGTACAGGTTAAAAGAAGTTACCAACCCAAAATGCTCATCACTGACCATCAGCTGGAAGTGATCTACTGTCTACATCTGCTTTGCTGGAGGTTGAAGAAACTCCTACTATGTCTCAAGAAAGAAAAAAAAAAACCCAACAAACAAAAACCCCATCAGCTCTAAGAGCTCAAAATTCTACTTTAGGTTGATAATAATAATAAAAAAAAGAATTTGATGCATTACAGAAGAACTTCTGAGGTGTGATTTTGAGTATAGATGCTCTAATGGATTTCATTTACTTTAGTTAGTTATCTTTAACACACACAGGAGAAAAGACAAGAGTTGTTGTGAAAGACATAACCCAGACACTCAATACCAGCAGAGTATTGGTAGACTTTGCTTGTTCAACAGCTGGTATAACAGGGAAATACAGGACTAAACTGTGAAGAAGTTTAAAGATGGGAAGAAGGTTGCATGTATGTTTTGGAAAGGGAATAGTCAGTGGCAAGAACTGAAGAGGAAGATGATCTAGTCACAGGACCAAGACAGAAACTGTTTCAGCTAAAGCATCTTGAATGGTTTTAGATTCTTTGGTGCTTTGTGCACTAAAGACAAGACAAGATAAAAATATGCATTTTTGACTGACAGATCAGGGGCAGTCGGTCAGAAGTCAGGAACTGAAAATGTATGTAGTCATTGACCCTGTCTACAGCGTGGCAGTGACTCTGTAATTCCACTTCCTCATCTGTAAAACAGGGACAATGTTTTCCTACCTGAAGGAATAGCGGGACCCACAATGGTTAAGGAGGTACTTGGGCACACTGATCATGACAATCACACAGTTGTTTAAGATAGAAGTCTAATTTGTTTTCTCCAAAGATTTAAAAAAAAAAACAACAAAAAACTTGAAGAAACCTACATTCACTCTTGGGACTTAAGTTACAGAAAAAGGAACATGAAGAAGGCAGGACAGACAGACAGATTTAGATATATGTGTGCACATCTGTGCACTGAAGTGCACAATGCCATCTTATTTAGTTTATGTTATAAACTAACAACTGTTGATAGAAAAATGAAGGCTTGGAGATGCACTCACAAGGATTAAACCCTTCCTAGGAAGACTGTTTTTTCCCCTATTGTCAGGAGCTCTGCAATCACCCCTGAAGGAATTTCTCTTTCCTCATAAGGCTATGAAGTCAGCTATTGTGAAAATGTCCTCCTAGAACCAACAAAAATAATAGAGCAGCTATAAACTCTTCTAAAAGAAGGCTCAATGTCTTGTAAGTCTTCCACTGGTGAAAAAAGAACCAAATCCAAACCCAAGTAACAGCTGAAAAGACAACGCAAAAAAGAATAGAGGACAAAAAAAATTCCTCAAAATAAACAGCATTTATATAAAGTAATCAAGTTAAGGCACAAGCAGTGTACTAATGTAAATGGGCAGATTTTTCCCTGTACTTCTCCTCAGGGAAAAAAGTCTAGAAAAATGCATTTGAGTAAATTATTTTGAAAGGTAGTGCTTAGTAAAGATGAACTAGAATGCGAAAAATGAAAAACTTACTTTGAAGGAAACAAATTTAAATCGTTTATAACCATGGAATAAAAAAAGCCAGTGCTTAAAGAGCTGAGAAAAATAACATGCTAGAAAAACACCTAGCTTAAAGAGCTGTATGCTTCTGATCAGAAGGTTATGGAAACAGGAAGCAGCATTTGTAGTACTAAAACTATGCAGGTGCTGCAGCCCTGAATAAAAGTCCCCTCTGGAAGTAATATGGAACCTAAGCATTCCAATAACTCTGACTATAAAGAAAGAAAAATCTTCCATACAATAAGAGCATCTAATTTTATATTTGTTTCTGAAATAAATGTTCATAGCCTCACGTAAATATGCTGTTTGATGCTTACAGCTATTCCAAGGAAAACTTGATTGTATGTACCACAATCCCAATTAATTTCCAAATACAGTCGTAGCTGGAGTTAGATGATCATAGAATCATTAAGGTTGGAAAAAACCTCTAAGATCATCCAGTCCAACCTAGCACTGCCAAAGCCACCACTAAACCATGTC